CTCTGTCTCTCTCTCTGAGTCTCTCTCTGTGTCTGTCTCTCTCTCTGTCTCTCTCTCTCTCTCTCTCTCTCTCTCTCTCTCTCTCTCTCTCTCTCTCTCTCGTTTTTTCTAGGCAGGGTTTGTCTGTGTTGGCCTAGCTATTCTGGAACTTGCTCTGTAGACCAGGCTGCCTCTGCCTCCTGAGAGTTGAGATTAAAGGTGTGTGCTACCACCACCTGGCTTTAAGTTTCTTTTAAAACAGTCATTAGTATACATACAATTTTACTGTTAAAGGTAAAAGCAAATTTTCATAGTGAGATGGATATGCTTGTTTATTTTACCTAAATAAATAAATCATGGCTACAGGCTGTGGAGCTTGTTCAACTTTATTTTATATTCCTCAATGCTAAGAAGGCTATGCAGTGCAAAATGGCAGATGTATAGTTAGGACCATATAAAGAAATTTTGTTCTAATCCCAAGTAAGTGTTCACTTAATGTGTTGTTTGGTTTTGATTTGGTTTTTTGGAGACAGGGTTTCTCAGTGTAGTTTTGGTGCCTGTCCTGGATCTCTGTGACTAGGCTGGCCTCGAACTCACAGAGATCTGCCTGGCTCTGCCTCCTGAGTGCTGGGATTAACGGCGTGTGAACTTCATCATTAAGTCCAACAGTAGTTTTAAAATCAAACATTGTAACATAATGTGATCTGATGACTTACTAATTTGGTTTTTCGTGCTGAGATTATTATAATTAAACTGTCATATTTGTCTAAGAGCAGAAAACTGTGCAATAAAACAGTGTAGCAGACCATAGCCTCAAATCTGAGCCAAGGTGTGTGATGGTTTAAAAGAAAATGGCTCGCATAGGGACTGGTACTGTTGGCAGGTATGGCTTTGTTGGAGGAGGTCTGTGCGGGAAGGCTTTGAGGACTCCTGTGCTCAAGCTTTGCTTAGTGTGAGACACAGTTGGTTCTGCTGCCTATGGATTAAGATGTAGAACTCTCAGGTCCTTCTCCAGCACCACATCTGAATGCATGCCACTATGTTTCCCTCCATGACGATAATGGACTAAAGCTCTAAAACTGGAAGCCAGCCCCAGTTAGATGTTTTCCTTTATAAGAGTTGCCATGGTCATGGTTTCTCTTCACAGCAATAAAAACCCCAACTAAGACAAGGTATTTCAGTGGTCTTTATTGGCATCATGTGGTGTGATGGATGTGCATGTGTTACATGTCCAGAACCCAGGCAGCCAGGAAGTTTGTGATGCAACTCAAGTGAGTCCTGTAAGAAGCACCTTGGATTCATTACACGTTTGATTGTGAATTAGTTTTTGCCTGTTGTGTACATTCAGAAGTCTTTATTGTTGCCAAATATTTTTCCATCTCTCCTCCTCACCTCCACCCCCACCGTCAATTATATTACCTCATATTGGGTTGCAACCCACCATTTCAGGAGCTGAGTCCTAGAGCAGCAGTCCTCAGTGCCAGACTTTAAAGACTGTGGTGTTAGCAGTGCTACATTCCCAGAGAGGCACAGAGAAATGATGGTTCCCTGCCTCTTCAGTTTCTACTGACTTTTGGCAACTCCATGGCCTATGGCCACTGTTTCATTTGTCCTTATCTTTCTGTGTGTCTGTCTGTCTGTCTTCTATTCTCTAAGTACCCTTGTGATAGCACTGTGGGTCCATCTGCACAATCCAGGTTACTCTTTCATCTCAAAAGTCCTTACATCTTTGGAGGTCTTTTCCCCAAATAGTTTACACAGGCTGTGAGGATTAAGGTGGCATTTCTCTGGAGGAGCTAGCACTCAGTCAGAGGGATGGCTCTTCCCCTTTCTTTAGGAATTGTGTTTCTGAAAGCTGCCTTCAGCACTCGATGGAGCTAACATAGCATAGGTGGTGTGCTTTCCAGCATTCCTGACTGCAGTGAGCACTCTCTGATTTCCAGGTGTGCCCAGAGGTGTGCAGCCCTTGGCCTGCTGATGGGCCTGATGGGCTCCTCACTGCTGTCCCAGGAAGGACATCCTCAAGGGTTTCTTTCGTTAGTGATCAGTAATTAACTGATAATTGAAGAGGTCAGAGGCAATCTGACTGTAACAGTCTACATAGCACTTTTAATTGAACTTCATAGCCCCATTTCACGTTGAGCTAGGTCCTCCTTCCCTTTCTGGGCTTATTCTTTCCCCCTACTTGAGAACTACTGTCCCCTTGTAGTCACAGTACCACTTAAATTGGGAGTCCCATTCCATCTTTAGTCTTTTATTATTTTTTGATTTCAAACCATGCATCCTAATCCCACTCTTTCTGCCCTCTGCTTTTGCACCACCCCAAGAAAAACAAAACTTAAAAATAAAATCGAAATAATTAAGAAATCTTGGCATCGAAGCTGTAGTGTGGCCCAGTGAGTCACACAGTATATCCTTTAGTCTGTACGTCTTGTAACTGTTCACTGAGATGAGTCACTGGTCTGGTTCAAGGCCTCTGGCTTCTGCTCACCCTTGGTACTGGGCCTCACAGGTACTACTCATGGATATCCTGTGTTGCCTTGTGTCATCGAGATCCTGCAGCTTTGGATTTGTAGGTTCCTCTCCTTCACATATGCCAACAGTTCATAGATGAGGTGGATGGGTGCTGGGGTGGACTCCCTTATAGTCTGGTTCTGGATCTGGCTGATAGTTAGGTTGGTCAGTCTGCCAGTTTTCCCTCATCATCATCATCACCACCCAAGCAAGTTCTCCAGCACTGCCCCTGCTATCTCACACAATGTAGCAGACAGCAAGGAATGGGGCGAGTTCTGCTCTCACACCTTCAGGACTAGCTCACCCACACTCACACTCCCAAGAACAGCTCTACTGTTTTGCTCAGGCAAAGTGCAGGCCTACTTTCTGGATTGCTGAACTCAGTGAGGGGCAGGATTAGCTTTTCCATTTTCATGCCCCCAGGGTCGACTCTCCCACCTGTCGCAGGTGGCAAGGGGTGGGGAGGAGGGCATGTTTTCTTTACCTTTGCCCTACTCTGGTATACCAGAGGGGACGGGGCAGCTCTCCTGCTTTTATACCCACAGGCTCTGCTCACCTGCACCCCGGCAAACAGGGTCAGCTCTAGTGAGATGCTGTGCCCGTTCTCCTGTGTGCTGTAGCTGGTGGGGTGCAGGACCAGTTCTCCCACACTCATGGCCCCAAGGCCAGCTCTCTCAACTGCTGCAAGTGGCAAGCAGGGAAAGAGGGCTTCTTTCCCTCACCCATGCCACTACATGGCAGATGATGGGCGGGCAGGATCAGTCCTCCCGCTCCTATGCCCCCAAGCTCGCTCACCTGCATCCCAGCCGATAGGGTCAGCTCTATTGAGGTGCAGGGCCAATTCTCCCACTCTCATGACCACAGAGCCAGCTCTCCCACCCACCACAGGGCAGGGGAGGGGAGAAGTCATCTTTCCTTCACCCACTCCATATTGTAGAGGAAGGGTAGGGCTGTATCTCCCACAAGCATTAGCGGTGCCAGATCACCTGCGCCTCAGTCCACAGGGTCAGCTCTACTATGGATCCCATGGCAGCGTGGCCCTCAAATCCTCACACCCCAACATGGCTCCTAGTGTGGGCCCAGATTCTGGGCATCAGTGTGGCCTTTGGTGGCAACACAGGCCACAGATATCACAGACTCAGGCTGTAGTAGGACCACAGACCCAAACATGGTCCTTGGCAACAGCCTGGATCCTGATGTCATCGCAGCCCTAGTTGGCATTGCAGATCACACTGATTAGCATGGCCCAAATGGCAATGAGGCCCCCAAATGCCAATATTTCCCCAGGTGGCAGCCCAGACCCCGGGTAGGTATCCACTCAGCTTTCGATGGTAGCAGGAGCCATGGACATTGACACAGACCCTTGTTGTGTTATGAAACGAGACATGGTCCATGGACATCCATAGTTCAGGACCCGATGACACTATGGCCCTAGGTGACAGCATAGGCTACCTAGGTCTGTATGACCCCGGCAGCAGCTTGATCCTCTCAGACTAACATTGTCTCAGATGTAGGCCCAGACTTCGGGCCTCTGCATAGCCCTTGGTGGTAACAGGAACCTTAGATATCAACTCAGCCCAGCTGCAGCAGGGCCATGGACCCAGACGTGGCCCCTGGCAGCAGTCTGGACCAGGCATCACCATGGTCCTGGGTGGAGGCCCAGGAATTCTGGATCAGGGCCCCTGTGAGTCTACATCTCTTGAACATCAACTTGGTCACAGGTAGTGATCCAGACTCCAGGCGTCCACAGGGCCCTTCATGGTAGCAGCCATGGATATCAACATGATCCCCACAGCTGAAACATGTCATGGCCCTGGGTGACAAACAGGGCATCTACCTCAGCCCGTTCCTGACTGCCCTCATGTCTTCAGATCTGCTTTTCCCCAGCACATGAATCCCCCTCCTCTGTCTGTCTGTCTCTCTCTCCCACCCCCTGCCATTTTGCCACCCTGTACTCACCATAATGGTGCCTGGCTGCCCAGTGCAAGAGGCTCGTGTGTGAAATTTTTCCCACATCAAGTCTAGACACCTAGAGTTTTCTTACTTTCTTTTTTTTAAGGGATGAGTTGTAATGATTGAAAACTGACTTTTATGTAAAATAAATTAAATCCTCTAAATAGAAATCAGTGATATTTATCCAAAAATACTCTAAGGGATAAGTAGGGGCCCACTAATTGTTAACATTTCCAGCTGGCAGGTAATGCAATGTGTCTTGTGACTTGGATCAGCCTTCCATTTGATTCCACATTTTCTGATCAGGTAGAGACAGGAAATGGATGGTTCAGGGGACTCTGGAGATGACATAATAGCCTACCTGTCAATACCTCAACCCCTTTAGGTTCTCAGGGCATGGTGGCCAATCTCATGAGTCTTAATACTCTGTTTCTCAGCCTTTGATACCACCGTAATGTAGTCACAGATTCGTGAAGTGTGAACCTGCAGAGTTGACATGGAGAACTCTAGTGAATTCTTCTGAATCACAGTAGTTACCTTCATTTGCTTTCCAGATTTGAAGGCCATATAGAGATCTGCCCACCAGGCATGGGTCACTCAGCTTGTTCAGTTAACAAGAGTGTTCTAGAAGCCATTCGAGGAAGACTTGGATCTTTCCACGAACTCCTGCTTGAGCCACCCAAGGTAAGGTTGCTGTCATAAGTGTTGCGGGCAGCCAGGGGTTTGGTTTAGGCAGTCAAGAGTGTCTGAGAACCTTGGGAATAAGAGACCGACTATAATTAGCATTACATACTATGTTTTGTAAAAGTATGCGTGTGTACCAGTTATCCTTCCATCTGACTCTGGGTTCTGGAGATGGAACTCAGGTTAGGAGTTCCCCCACTGGGCCATCTCCTCAGCCTGCATGGTATTTTTAAAGGTACACTACTAGTTTTTGCTGCCTCTGAGCTATTTTGTTGTTGGTTGGTTTGGTTTGGTTTTTGGGGGCAGGGTCTTGCTATATATTCCAGGTTAGCCTTGAATTTGCTATCCTCTTACCTGAGCTTTATGAGTAGTGAGATTACAGGCATGTACCACTGTGCCTCCTGTAAGCTAGTTTTGAAATTGGCTTTTATTCATTGGCTTTTATTCATATGCATTGTCTAAAATTAGTAGATGAGGGAAAATTAGAATTAAAAATATCTAGTTAGTAAACTCAGATTTTTTTGTTTTGCAAATCTTTGAGCACTTATATATCAGTAAAATAAACATTTTCCTATTTTTTTAAAAGATTTATTTATTATGTATACAGTGCTCTGTCTGCATGTATGCCTGCAGGCCAGAAGAGGGCGCTAGATCTCATTATAGATGGTTGTGAGCCACCATGTGGGTGCTGGGAATTGAACTCAGGACCTCTGGAAGAACAGCCAATGCTCTTAACTGCTGAGCCATCTCTCCAGCCCACATTTTCCTATTTGTAACATACTTTTTTTGGTCTTTGAGATCTGTGTGGCTCATGAAAGGTCACTCGGCCACATGCAGCTAGCCCTGGACCGCAGAACACAGGCACGAGTTAGATGGTGTCGCAGGCATGTGTCTGGCGGAGCAGAAACTCCTGACCTCTGTGGGCGGGATTTGAGCTGCTGCTAGCAGGCGAGGGTTTTAGGATTCCCCTCACAGATAAGGGCCGTGGGGATGGCCCACCCATGTGGGCAACAGGTAAAGTGAGAAAGCCATGGAGTCTGCTTAAAGGACAAAGGGATTTATTAAGAAAGGAAACCTCGACCGGGCGGTGGTGGCGCACGCCTTTAATCCCAGCAC